ATTGTCCCAGTAAAGCAAAGGTTTTGCTTCAGGTTCTGGTCTCTTCTTAATCACAGCTGATTTTTCAGCCCCAGTCGACCAGAGCCCACAGATTCTCAATCCGAAATCTCACACGAACAGCCCTGATGGTCTCCACTTCCCTTTGAAGCTTCACAAGCCAGGCCTCCATCGTTTACAACTCTTTCAGCATAACTGTTCCAAGCTCCACAGATTGTCCCAGTAAAGCAAAGGTTTTGCTTCAGGTTCTGGTCTCTTCTTAATCACAACTGATTCTTCAGTCCCAGCTGACCAGAACCCACAGATTCTCAACCTAAAGTCTCATGCAAACAGCCCTGATGGTCTCTGATTCCCTTTGAAGCTTCACAAGCCAGGCCTCCATCGTTTACAACTCTTTCAGCATAACTGTTCCAAGCTCCACAGCAACAAACTCTGAACACACAATGGCTTTTCCAGCCCAAAGTTCCAAACACTTCCACAGTCGTCCCAAAAACTCCAAGGTCAGTCTGTCACAGCATATCCCACTCTCTGGTACCAATTTCTGTCCTAGTTTGTTCTTCATTGCTGTGACAAAATACTTGGGGAGAAAAGGGTTTATTTAGCTTACATATCCCGGGTCACAGTTCATACAGGAGCCCAAGGTAACTCAGAGCAGGAACCTGGAGGCAAGAGCTGGAGCACAGGCCATGGAGGAATGCTGCTTTCTGGCTTGCTCCCCTAGCCCCTGCTGAGCCTTCTTTCTTATGCAACACAGGCCCACCTGTCCAGGGGTGGCACCACCCACAGTGGGCTGGGCTCTCCCATATCACTCAACAATCAAGAAGGTGCCCCATGGACATGGCCACAGGCCAGTCCAATAGAGGCAATTCCCCAGTTGAGGCTCCCTCAACCCAAGTGTGTCAAGTTGACACTAAAGCTATCCAGCACAGAGCCCATACCTGACACTGATATCAGGGCCAAGAACCTGTGGCTAGACAGGTCACAGGCCTTACGGGAGAGTCTGCTTCTACTCTTCTGGTAGACAGACATAGTGTTAAACTGACTCTTAATGACTTATTGTTATACCCAGAGATTAGTGCATCTCTCAGCATTCACCAGAGAAGCTTCTTCTTGCAGTGGATGGTGATGAAAGTATAGACCCACAGCTGGTCAGTGTGAGGAAACAATTGACTGAGGAGTGCTCAGCCGTAAATGGGACACCTACATCACACCCTGTCTCCCAAGTCTCAGGGATCATTGTGGAAGAGAGGTGGAAAGACTGTAAGAGCCAGAGATGGTAGATGAACACAAGGAAACTGTGTTTTCTGGATACCACAGGACAGTTGCACAGATGAACCCACAGTTCTTGTGTCAGCATGCATAAGTCTTATGCAAGTCTAAGCCAGAAAAATACCAGCATTAGCAGAGGAGGCGAAAAGCTTCATCCTTAGCTGAAGAGCTCTTGGCAATTGATAACTATTAGAAGAGGGACAGCCAGTTTTCTTTAAGTGTGACACCTGGTAGGTTGACCAGACTCCAAGGGATAGACCCACACCCAAGAGCATTTGGGGGACACAGATTGGGCTTGACAGTCCTTTAAAAACAGAAAACCAATAACAGAGGATATGAAGTTGAGGGGGGAGAAAAACGGGGTGGAGATGGGGAGGTGGTCTGAATATGATCAAAATACACTATACAAAATTCTCAAAGAATCAATAAAAATATTTTAAAAAGTAAAAAGGTTGTAAGAGCCAGGGTTGGTGCAGGAACATAAGGAAACAGTCTTCAGGCCTCTGGGAACTTAAAGTAATGGTGTCAGGACGCACGAGACCCATGCAAACTCAATCAGACAAAAACACAGCACAGAGCTGGGGAAATGGGCAGCAGTTCTCAACCTTAGCTGAGGAACTATGGGCAGCTGATGACTGCTGGGTGGGGGAGAGTTGATGTTTAAGGGAGAGACTCTAGACATGCTGACTAGACTCCAGTGGATGAACTTGCACTGAGGGATATCAGGGTACACTAACTTGACTGTATAGGCCTTAACATATATGACAGAATGCATAAAACGTGGCGAGGGGGGCTACGGGTGGTACAGATGGGGGATATAAAAATGATTAAGATGTTTTGTATAAAATGTACAAAAATTCAATAAAAATATATATTTATACCTTAAGACTATGTAAACAGCCTGTTCCTCATAAGATTTCCATTCATTAATTTTAGCATTCAATCATCCCAGTAAATTACTACTACCTATGGTTTTCAAATTGAAAAAAAATATTTAAAAAAAGAAAAGAATATCGTTTGTACAACACTGTCCTAAAACACACATTTTCACCTATATGTCAAAGTCACTCTAATGTCATAGAACAATAAAGATGGAGAAAAAAAAAGTATCAAGCTACTTGGAAAAGGAAGACTTGTTCCCATGGGTATACGTAAGAAATGGCACCAAAGATCATAGGCAAAGACCTGTGTTTCTAATTTCCTTAAGAACAAACCAACCTGGGGCTGGAGAGATGGCTCAGCAGTTAAGAGCACTGACCGCTCTTGCAGAGGACCTGGGTTCGATTCCCAGCACCCACATGGCAGCTATAATCCATCCTTAACTCCAGTTCCAGGGGAATCCGAACAGAACTGCATGACATGGGTATACTTACATACTTGCAGGCAATACACTCAGACACATAAAATAAAAATAATAAATTATAAAAAAAATTTAAGAAATTATTAAAAAAGAACAAACCAACCAACTAGTTCATAGTTTATAGTAAATATCAATCAGAGACTGTTACAATCATTAACACTAATGATTTCTTAGATTATTTTTATAAGAATTATAGAAGTGTTACTTTTATCTATCATCTATCTATCCATCAATCATCTATCTAATCTATCTCCCTATCTATCATTTATTTATCTGTCAACCCATTTTCTATATCTATCATCTATTTATCTTCTCTCTATCTCTCTATCATCTATCTATCACCTATCATCTATCTATCATCTATGTATCATCTACCTATCATCTATCAATCTGTTATCTCTCTATCTCTCTATCATCTATCTATTTATCTATCTATCTATCTATCTATCTATCTATCTATCTATCTATCATCTATTATCATCTTCTATTATCCATTTATTTTCTTGGGACAAGATCTTACCAATGTAGCCTAGGCTGACCTAGAAAGTACTATAAACTTAAGGCTAGCCTTGACCTCATAATCCTCCTATCTCAGCCCCCTAGTGCTGTGATTACATGTGTATGCCACCATAGTGTCTGGAAGTGTTGACTTTAATTGGCACCTGGAGATTAGAGTTCTAGGATGGTTATTCTAATTTTCCTAAGTGCTGGATGGCTCAGGACATCCTAACCCTTCCTTCATGAATCACTTTCGTCCTGATGACTTCATCTGGATCCAACATCATCTAAAACCTGAGACTTCACAGCCACATTTCCAGCTTTGAACTCTCCCATGAGTTCTAGGCTTTTATAACCACCCATATCCTTTCTTCCTATATTTATGTATAAGGCATGTCACTTTGATGATGGCCATAAGCAAAGGTCTTGCTTTTTCCACCTTAAATAATCTGACTTGTCGTTGTAGTTGTTACCCTCAAGCAATGACACCATCAAGTTCCCAGCTGTGGGGCCTGCTGGTGGTATGGATCTATTCTGCCACTAAGCTTTATCTTCTGGGCTGTCACATGGGAACTTGAATGTGCTCCTCACAGCTCCCACTGCTAGAGTCTCAGCAGAAGAGGGCATTTCTGCTCCAGCATTCCAAAGCATACATTCATCCTGTTTCTCCCTGGTTTATCTCCAAACTTCTCATTATACAAACAATGTCAATATTCACTCTTAACATTGGTGCATCTCACTCCAGCCAACTTCCCTCTGCCTGCTGTTGATGACTTCCCAGCCATTCCCACCTCCTCTGCCCCAAGTGGATACCACATTCATTCCATCTGTGGGACACGGCCTCGACTTGTTTCCCTGTCAGCTCCTGGCAGGCTCTTTCTCTTTTTCCCTGAGGTTTTCACGGCTCTCCCACCTGAGGTAGACAACCTTCCGTCCCCAAAGCATATTCCATTTTCTCTTCATCATAGCGCTTATCAGACCTGAAATAATCCTATTCGTTTATCTTATTTCCTGTGATCATTCCCTGTTTGTTAAAATGTGAACTCTAGGATCTGTCCCAACGCTGTCTTCTGCTGACTTGCTGTTTACAATCTTCTGCTGGCTTACATCTATGTTTAAGTTAGAAAACGACGAAGGGAAGTTGTAAAAACTGGTATATTTAATCCAAACCAAGAATGCTGAGTCTCTACCTGCTTGGATTAAGGATTCCTTGCATGATTCTGAGGGTGTGTGGAACAGGGAAGACAGAAATTTCACTTTCACCTGACAACCTGCTGTGTTTCTCCTCAGTCAATGAGAATCAAGGTAGCATTACATTTTACTGGAGCTGCATCCGAGTACGGCTAATGCCATCATACATGGAACCGTACTCATAGTTTTAAGACTAAACCATGTTGTTGGTACTATTTAAGCGCCTAATTGTTTTACTGTTCCTTCTTCCTCTGGACCTATTTCCCATCTTCCTTTCTGCATCTTGTTGCACATGTCCCCATTGTTAGGAGCTTTGATAGCTCAGGCTGGAACTTGGAGTCATGTAAACAGGGAACTACAATGATGGGTCAAGCATGTGCCAACTGAGCCCGATGATCTGGGATTTGGATAGATAACTTGATAATGCCCATTATAAGGACATTCTGCCATTATTTCTACTTTCATTTAGCTGTTCAAGGCTTCCTACTTCATAACAGAAGAAAGAACAACTTTGTTATAGGAAGCTGCTATTATAACTTTAAATGGTGTATTTGGTTACAGAGTTAAAAGATGAAGTCCCTCTGTGTTGGAACCCATAGCCCAGGGACTTGGAAGTGACCTGTGTTGCAGATAAGCACTGGTCAGGCAGGAGATGCCCAGGTACACACCTGGGAGAAGAGCTTCCAACCCGTCCTTGCTCCACCTCCCCTCCCATGGTCCACCTCTGAGGCAGGCATACCATGGTGCTGATCTTCCCATTTTCTGTGGTCATGCTGTCTCTGTGGTGCAGGTGTGCGAAGGGCTTGGCCGCTCCCCAGGACTCCAAGTACCGGGTCATGCGGACAGAAGCCCTCATCTTGGCTCCATCCAGGGTATGGCGAGGTCTGAAGAGGTGCTGGGGACTCCGTCGCTCTCCCTTGGGATAAAAAACAAAGCTTTGAACCTGGTGTACTAGAGCCCTGTCCCCTCCTCCTTCCTGTTCCAGCCTCATTTGGCTGAGTCAATCCTTCAGCTGTCAACCATTCCTTTTTCATGGCTCTGCCTCAGTCCTTCAGTGGAACTGGGGAACAAGATATTTGATCTGAGTGCTTTCTTTTCAGATAGTAAAACTTACCTGCAATAGAAACCTAGGAAAATAGAATAGATATACTAAAGGATATTTGCATAAAGTCAACTCTTCAACAGAGCTGTTGATCCATTTTAGCTCATTGATGGCTTTGATTTTCTAAAGTGGTGGCTGTTTGGGCATGTTGGTTATACTTACTAGGTGACCTCATGCACCTTCTGATGCTCCCGTCCACATCCTCCTCCTGCCCCTCCATTGCTCAGCACTCCAGCTACTTGTCACACATTTATCTCCAGGTTAGCAGGGAAGTTAATTAGAAGTGCACCAGTGAAACCAGGGCTTCAGGGCTGTCACTTAGTGCCCAGGACTTGATCCTGAGTTTGTGATATTGGTTGACATGGTTTGAAAGCCGACCCTGCTGAGCTCAGCACCATTTACCATTTACCAGCTGTGCTATTTGTGACATAACCACCCAGGGCCTCAGAGTCTTAATCTGTAAATGGTGACAACATCCATTTGGCAGGAATTTGAGAGGTGTTAACAGAATTGAAGGCTCTGTACCCCTTGATCTTGTCTAACAGGCAGTAGGAACACAGGAAGGGGCAGAGCCCTCCTGCCTGCTTGTTTGCCAGGCAGTGGATGTTTTGATGGCATTCAAAGAAAGTAGCTTGCATACGTGCACATATTTGCACATGAACATATTCCGGGTATTGCCAGTTATTGAAACTTTTTTCCCTTTCTGTTTTTCATATTGTCTTCCTATTTCATATCATTAGCACCTCATGTTTTGAAAGCTTCAACAAAATCTATGCTCTTTATTTAAATTCTAGCTTACAGGTTTCAAGGCTATGCCCATTGAGAGCTTTGAGCAGGCAGCATTTACAAACAAAACAGACCGGTGGACCTATACAATACAAAGAAAACAGACACCGGTGGACCTATACAATACAACAAAACAGACACCGGTGGACCTATACGATACAGGAAAACAGAAACCCTGTAAAATACAGGAATACAGACACCCTGTACATTACAGGAAAACAGACACCCTGTACAATACAGGAATACAGACACCCTGTACGTTACAGGAAAACAGACACCCTGTACATTATAGGAAAACAGACACCCTGTACAATACAGGAAAACAGATACCCTGTACAATACAGGAAAACAGACACCCTGTACAATACAGGAATACAGACACCCTGTACATTACAGGAAAACAGACACCCTGTACATTACAGGAAAACAGATACCCTGTACAATACAGGAAAACAGACACCCTGTACATTACAGGAAAACAGACACCCTGTACATTAAAGGAAAACAGACACCCTGTACATTACAGGAAAACAGACACCCTGTAGAGTACAGGAAAACAGACACCCCTATACAAAGCCCCAGCCTGTAACCTTCACCCTTCTCCTCACCATCCAGACAGCTGATGCATTTCAACTATTTTTTGAATAAATATTTGAATTTATTATCAAATGCCTTCAATAATCAAGCCATTAGTTGCATTTGAAGTTATTTTAGAGTCAATAATCACAGAAACAATAGGCTAATTATAAACACTGTACAATGATACTGACCTTGGGGTTGATTACAAAGTAGGTTTTCACTAAGTGCTGCTTTAAATACGGGTCTCTTATTTCACCATCTCCTTCTTCTACTTTATAAGCTCCATTCAAATGTTCCAGGGTGACTGAAGAAATGTGAACACGTCTGAAATTCCATTTAAAACCATAGTAAGATATACAACTATAAGTGTAAAGAAAGATGTTCTATTTGTGAATCCAGCAATAATTTATCCTCCAACTGAAGGAAAATCGACATGTCCCTGGGGAGACTGACTGCTACTGGAATTTATATTCCAATGGACTGCCTTGAGGAGCAGCTTTGGAGGCCTTTGCTATCAACAGTTAAAGCTTCTCTGTGCTCACAGAAGCTGTGAGCTGTGGCTGTGGTGAACCCCACCAGAAAACCTCGGTCATATTCAAGTTTTGCATGTGAGGATATCTGTCAAAGCAAACAACCAGGGTGTTTTAGCAAAAGCGGTCTGCTGCACATAAGTATGGGTTTCCTTTCTCAATGCCTGGCCACATGCTTCTCCAAATTATAGCCTTACATTGGGCTTCTCTTCTCCGACTTCTGACCAAAACCTGACACGGTATCTGCTCCAGTCCTAGAGAGAGGCCATGTCTGGATCACATTATAATTTTTAAATTTAGGTCAGTATTTGCAAATAACTAAGGGTTTAGAATTTATTATGTGGTATCCATAGTCCTTGACTACAGACCTAAGATTGGTAGAACTGCGACTTGAGCCTTTGTGTGTGTTTGTTGCTAGGGATCAAACCTAGAACTTTTTACATTCTGAACAAGTGCTCTCTCACTCGCCTGAGAGCAAGTCTAAATGCTTTTCGTAAGACCTAAGTATCGTGATACCAACATAAGTAAGAGTAGTCATCTACAACTGAGCAACCTGGTGTTTATCATCTTGTTGGTTTGAAATGACTAACTGAGCCACCAGTTTGAGAGAAGAATTAAAGGTCTGCCTTACCCAGGGACTCCTCCAGCCTCCATATGGTTGGCCAATGTAACGTCATGTGACCAGACGTCATACTGCCACTTTTGGAGACCGATCACACCACAGAGGACGTTCCCAGAGTGCACTCCTACACGCATGTTGATGTCAACGCCCGTAGCATCCCTCACCTTCCTAAAGAGAAGGGAAGTAATCACAGTGCAGCAGTACACTTTTCTTTTAGCCCATGGCCAGTTTCCTGCACTTTAATCATTCAGAACACCTCAGACTTCCAGAAATGCTGCCATGAATTCTCCCAGGGCAGACAACCCGCGGTGCTGGACCAGGAGGAATGGAGTGTTCTCCCAGCCTCTCATACTCGACCCAGAGCTCCACAGTCCCACTAGAGAGGCCAGATGGGGCAGACAAGGTGCTCACAAAGAACTTAGGCTGCGGACTGCTGTTTCTGTTTACCCGGCTAACACAAACCAAGAACCTGTGAACTGTGTGGTACTTCCCCTGTGTGTTCAAGCCAGGACCATGTGACATTGTCATGCAGTGTCAGACACCATTGTGAATATCATTTGCAGTTCAAGTGTGCACACCCACACACACACACACACACACACACACACACAGAGCCCTTCGTTAAAATGATTATCACATATATTTGAAAGAAAATTGAGAAAAAATTTTCTCCCCAACAGAACTCCCTTCACCTTGGGTTTGAAGCAATGCTCAGGTCACCTCCAGGGACAGACTGTGAGCATGAAAAACTCAGTCCAGTTACACCTGGATCTGCAGAGTCATGGTAGTCACTAGCTTCTGAAGGAAGGCAAGTGTGTATTTCGTATATCAGGGGAAACAAATGACTAAGTTATGGGAAAGGGAAGTGGAACAAGGTTATTTGGGGCGGCCCCTCCACTTCTCTCCCCCTATTTTCTTCTTATTCCTGAGCTGTTTGTCCATAGCAACTGTAGTTTTCTACTAACTAGTGGACCTTGGTGGAACACACATATTCCCACCTCAGAGGGAAGATCCTGTCCTCGGGCTGAGGCTGAGCATTCATTATTCTTTGCTGGACACTGGTGAGAGGCCTTTAGACCTGGCCACTTTTCAGCATGTGAGCCTCACACAGGCTAGGCAGACACAGTAACAACTAGACTTGCTGCTTCCCCGCTTACTCTAACCCGGAGACAAAGAATTTGACAACAAGCATATAACTCCAGCCTTGAAGATACACACGTGTGGAGGATAGGGAAAAAATCACTTGACTAAAATAGACAATTAAAACCAAACCAAATCCATAAAATAAAATCTATCAATTATGAATCAACAGGCAGGAGGTTTTATTATGTATAAAGCATTCTAGCTTCTCTGGAGGGCATTAGAGAAGGCTCTACCATGTCACCTGTGATGTGTCACATTCTATATTATATGTTTATCTTACACCCATCACCAGCCTTGGCAGCGTGTGCCTTTTTCAAACAGGTATGTACCTAAAAATGGCTTCAAATTCAAGTTCATCCTGTCTCAGTGCTCCAAGTGCTGGAATTACAAGTCTATACCATCAAACCCAACTGTTAATAACATTCTACACAAGCAAATTTCCCTAGAATCACAATGAAAACTATAAATATAATACTAAAACATATTGTAGATACAAATCAAAACTACATTCACAAAGCTGAGCATTTTGTACTAGATGAAGCAATCCTGGATTGGATTATTTTTAAATTTGTAGTTTGGTAGTTAAAACAACTTTGGCTTTACAGTATTGGGAGTCTCTTTTAAGATCGAAGAGGCTGCTGAAACCTTTTTAAAACTGGGCTGGCAAGAGGGCTCAACAGTTAAGAGCACTGGCTATTCTTGCAGAGGACCCACATGGTGGCTAACAATTCCAGTGGCTATAACTCCAGTCCCAGGGGATCCCACACCCTTTTCTGTCCTCCACAGGCATTACATGACGCAAGTGCACTTGCATACATGCACACAATACATACAGACACATAAAACTAAAACAAAAAATTAAAAAAATTATCTTTGAAAATAGAGTATTAACTCCATTTCAGTGAAATCTAAGGAAAATAACAATGATCCCAAATACTTTCATACGTCTTTCTTTGGACCGAGGTGCCCACATGCCAATAGATTCATCTCTTTATATTTATATTTGAATGTACAGTAGATGTCAATAGACAGAAAAACAGAAATTCTTGTAGGTGAGAATTATAACCCCAAGTTGTTCTGTATTAAAACAGTCTGCATAAGCGGTACACTTACTTTATAGCTTCACACATATCCAAGCCCATTTTCACACAGTTCTTGGCATGGTTAGGAAGAGATATAGGGAGTCCGGAAACACAGTAATAGCAGTCTCCTAAAATTTTAATTCTCATGCATTCATTCTCCTGCAGAGCAAAACACAGACCTTATTTGTAGCAAGCACTTGTGCAATGATTCAGATTGACCCAACACCTTCAATTTGCTGGCTCTGTTGACAAGCCTCCCTGGACGGGGCATTTGGGGAGTCAGAACAAGAACTACTCTTACTGAATTTTCAACCTCCTTCCCCTAGTGAAGCTGTTATTTTTTTAATTAAAAATTTTTTTTATTATTTTTATTTTATGTGTATGAGTGTATTGCCTGCATGTATGTGAGTGCATCCATGTTGTACAATGCCGCGAAGGTCAGAAGAAGGCTTCAGATTCCCCTGGAACTAGAGTTAAGGATGGTTCGTAGCCACCACGTGGGTGCTGGGAATGGAACCTGGGTCCTCTTCAAGAGCAGTCAGCGCTCTTAACCATTGAGCCATCTCTCCAGCCCCAGTGAAAGCTGTTTTACAAAATAAAACAACACACTTGGGGGGAAGGATCCAAGAAGGACCATACTCACATCCATGGCCAGATTTCTTTCTATGACACTTGGCTGGAAAAGTTCTGTGTTATTTAAAACTGAGCTAAACCATGCAGTGAACTAAATTTAGGACCAACTCTTCTACATATAAATAACTAATATTAATATGCATAATGAAGGATTTCTGGGAACCATCCAAAGATGAAATTAGGTTGATATGAAATATTTAATGAAAAGTAAAAAGCTGGCAGGAAAGAAATGTTTTCCATCAATATTCTATCAGCAATTCTAGAAGTTGCTCTAAGTAAGGCCTAGTGTGGTTTCAAATGGCTTGAGAACATTTCTTTGTGAAATTTCCTGTATGTGAGCCTGTGATGGCATGGCGCTGAGCTGACACTGCTGTTTAAGGGGCACACAAGTCAAAGGGTGGAAGCACAACAGAAAGTAAAGACTTGCACAGAAGGCACAGACTACTCTAAGGATGCTTCCAGAATTCGGCTTAATCATATGAAAACAGGATGATGAAACCTTGACGTGGAAATGTCTACAAGAGAGCCCTAAAACCAGACAGCACTGCAAACAGGATCTACCATCTGAACGCTTTTATTATATACATGCTGAGTTATACGAAAGCAGACATGTTAAAAATAGATGAAAACACAAACACTAACTGCTGGGGCATTTCTTATCCTGGACACAGGCTCAAGACATCAGTGGGAAATAAAACCAACAATTTTTATAAACATTCTTGAATGATGTTTTTTATGATAAAGTGAGATGCTGATAATGGGATGGGGGAAAAATAAGGTGAGATCTTATAAAACCCCGTTGTGGAAGGGACGTTGTAAAACTCACCTTTGCAATCTGATCAAACTTCCCAAAGAGTTCATTCAGCATGTGGACCAGTTCCCCTGGGGAGCAGTCACTTGCGAGACGAGTGAATCCAACAATGTCAGCATATAAGATGCTGTGAGAAGAAGTAGGTAGGCAACAGAATTGAAAAGTTTATATTACTTTGTAAAGAAAAGTCATTATGGCCGGGCGTGGTGGCGCATGCCTTTAATCCCAGCACTCGGGAGGCAGAGGCAGGCGGATCTCTGTGAGTTCCAGGCCAGCTGGTGCTACAGGGAGAGCCTGTCTCCAAAAGGCCAAAGGCAATACAGGTTTCTCTTTAAAAAGTAAAAATTTTTGTTCTTTTTATGCCTTTAATCCCAGCACTCGGGAGGCAGAGGCAGGCGGATCTCTGTGAGTTCCAGGCCAGCTGGTGCTACAGGGAGACCCTGTCTCAAAAAGGCCAAAGTCATTACAGTTTTCCATTAAAATAGTAGAATTTTTGGTACTTTGTATTGCCATGAGATATATGCCATTTTCCAAGAGATGAAATACATAAAACTTTCATTAAATCACATGTCCTTATTTGTTCTCTGTTGCTCTGAAAAAATACTGGTCAAAATCAACTTCTTGGGGGGGATTTATTTCATCTTACAACTCCTCAGTCAAAACCCATTGCTGAAGGAGGAGCCCAAGGCAGGAACCTGGAGGCAGGAACTGAAGAGGTGACCATGGAGGAACACTGCTTCCTGGCTTGCTTCTCCTGGCCTGCTCAGCTGCCTTTCGTACACAGCCCAGGCCACCTGCCTAGGGGTGGCACCTCCTACAGTGATCTGGGCCCCTCTATATCAATCAGCAACCAAGACAATGCCCCCACAGACATGCTCACTGACTAGTCTGATAGAGGAAACTCCTCAGCTGAGGTTCCCTCTTCCTAGCTGACCCTGGTTTGGGTTGCGCAGACAAAAAGTAACCAGCACATTGCCCATTTAAATAGTTTTCTAGTGCTGCGTTTTTAAAGTGGGGATGAAGAGTTAGAAAGCAGAGACAAGTTCTATTATGGCTTTTCTGTTCTCCTTCACTCCAACTTAAGTGACTCAGATGACCAAGGGAGTGCTTCTGCTTGAGCTGTCACAGGGCTTACAAACTTCTGAAGTAGAAGCAACAAGTGACAAAGCCCAACCCTGAATGCACTGACTCGAAGAGAAATGGAAGCAATGAGCTTCTTTTCTAAAAAGATTACACTAATCAAGTGATCCTGGATAACAGGTTCACTAGCTACTTAGACTGTGTGTGGGGTGAGGCATTAAACCAAGGAGTGTCCAGATGCAACTTGTGGTAAGTGCTGTAAAGAAAAACACAAGTGTGATGGTGAGAGTCCAGGTATTTCACGCCCTTCATGTATGTTCAGGTTCGTGGGTACTGTGACTCTTGCCAGCATGGCACCAGTATGTGCATCACACCCTTTCCCACAACACAGCACAGTCCTGATTTTTATGTAGATCTAGCAAGAAGCCTAAATTCCTGTCAACAGGAATTAAACATTTACATAGAGACTGTCATGGCTTGAGATATGGCATGAAATAAAAATGAAAGGCATTTCAGTCATTAGGATGGCTATTATATAAATGTAAACAAAAATCAGAATACAGGTATGGGCAAGCATGTAGAGAGCTGAACCCATTATGCATTACTGGTGAGAAGGTAAAAGGGAGCAGCTCCTATAGGACACAATGTGGTGGCTCTTCAAAAATGTAACCCTGAAAACTACATGGTTCAGAACTGAAATCAGGGACTCAAACAGCTGTTTATACATGAATGTTCAAATTTGCTTAATTTGCAAGAGGTAAGATAGAAACAAACCAAGTGTCCATTAACAGATGAATGGAAAGACAAAATGAGGTATATAAATACACTGACTAGTAGTAAGCCTTTAAAAGAGATGAAACCCCAGGATATGCTGGACTTGAAGATATAAGAAGTAAAATAATTCAGGTGCAAAATGACACATATTGTTTGATTCCAGTCATGTGTTTTCCTTAGAATAATCAACATATATTGACAGAAAGTAAAGTAGTGAGTGCTAGGGGTTGAGGGAGGTATGTGTACAGTTTTTGCTTAATGGAATCAAAGATCCAATGTGGAATGCAGAAAAGTTTATGGAGATGGAAATGGGGTTGCAAAGCACTGTGAATGTGTTTGATCTCATCAAAGTGCTTCCTCAAAAGTGGTGACATTGTAAAATGTGTCTATTTTAGCATAACAAAAACAGAACCATGTGGTGCCAGTCATCTGAGTCTCAATAGATCAGGACAAGACTCTGTTCCCTGTATTAAGCACAGGCTGTGGCTTCATCAAGGAGGAAGACAGGCTCTTCTGCTGAGGGACAGGAACCCAGGGGACCTCTGCTACACCCAGGGAAAGCAGGCTGATGGGGAGGTTGGGCTCTCTGTTCTGTTCTCATGATTTCTCAAACCACACATGTCCCTTTGTGGGCAGCAATGGCAGAGGCTGGGCCATGTTCCCAGATGAAGAATTACATTTGCTCACTCAGAATACCTGACACAAAGCAGAACTCAGAAGTAGAAAGCAGGCGAGGGAAGCTGACTCTACTCCCTCTTGTTCACAACAGCCACAGCTTTCCTATGATCGAACGTGGAGTGGGCCAGGAGCCCAGACAGGCTGGCTGTGAGCCAGGAGCCCAGACAGGATGGCTGTGAGCCAGGAGCCCAGACAGGATGGCTGTGATATCTTAAGCTAGGTGAGTTTATTTTGCAGCAGAAAAATGAAACAAGTGAACAGGTAATTGTGATGCAATGTGTGAAGTTATGAAGAAGGCAAGCCTGGTGCACTGGGGTCACACGGAGGGAACCTGGGCCAAGTCACACTATTACACTATTACAGAGATGTGCAACCTAGAAGCAGGCATGCCGTCAGAGCCTGAGGAAGGTCTGTAATGGGAACATTGGAGAGAACTGGTCAGGCAGGGAAGGAAAACAACTCACACACTGCAACTAATTAGAGGTCGACGGGAATGTCTAGGAAAAAAATGCCATCATAGATGAAGACTAGTTTCTGGGAAAGATGTGTTTAGGAACCTAGGTTTGAAGAGACCATAGCATGTAGGGAAGAAGACTAGTTCAGCTCTGTTTTCTGGTGCTACCTTTAGTCACCAAGAGGTAGATGAGGACAGGAAACCAGGTGAGTTTCATGTCTGGGCGTCACAAACATGGTAAAGCCCTGGAGGAGGAGTGAGGAGAACAGAAAGGAGCTACAGGGCTCTGAACACACTCATTTACCGGGAGGCTAGACTCAGGAAGAGAGAAACCATAGAGGGGGGTACAGCAGGAAGATGTCCCTGGTTACCAACACTGAGGGATGGGCACGCTCCATAAGTGGGAGGGCAATGTCAGTACAGGGTGCACACCTGAGCAGTCGACACAACAAAGATTTGGAAGTATTATCTGGGGCCAAGAGGAGTTAGTGGGGAAGTTAAGTGTGAACTGTTTCTGTGGCTTGGCAGGGGTTTTTTTTGGGGTGTTAACACCAGAGGGTAGCAAGATGAGGAGGGACACAAAAGAAGGAAAATCAAGCAGAGTATAGAAAAACATTCTCTAGGTCCTGAGCTTTGAAAGACAGAGGCAGTTTTCTGTTGGATGGTACCTAAGACTGAAATGGATGCATTTGTTGTTATTTTTCTTTTCTTTATTTTAAATAACTTGTTAGAGAACATTTAAGATCTAGTGGGGAATATCCAGAGCAGGGTAGTGAGGTTCAGAGGCAACCTAACAGTTGCTGTCTTTATCTTGATAAATTATCAGTATTCTTTTCAAGAGGGCTGGTAAATGTTATTAATAGAGAACAAACATTGTGCTGAATGAATGGTCACAGTGGAAACCAAGAGGAAGCCGCGGATTTTTCTAGCACTGTTTAAACACACAGTAAAAAGCATTTTTTTTTTTTTTTTAAGCACCAGGCAGTCACTGTACTGTCTATACTACTATAGGGATAGAGTCTGTTTCTTTGCTTACACTTGTCCTGTTTCAGGAGGAAATGTCCACTTTTTAAGATGTCATTTAAAGATGATTAGTATTCCATGTCACTTAAGTAAATTTTCAAGTTCCTTTAGACCCCAAATAAATTTTAAGAATTTAGATTTAACTTGATAGTACAAATACATTCTGCACAAACCATGAGGGAAATAGAGACAGGACTTCTACACTCGTTCTTTGACTAGATAACTTGGTACTCAGCCTGCAGGATGCTCATGTCCCGCTAGTCAAGTTCCTCTATTGCCCACACTGGGCAGGGCTGGCTTGTGCGAACAGTAGAGAGTAGCAAAAATGGCTTTCTAAGGCAGCGTCCTAAATTACACTCCAGCACGGCCCTGCTCATCTTGGATTCCCTGCTCTGGGGGAAGTGAGCTGTCACAATGTGATGATGCTCAAGTCACCTGCGGAGATGACTTAGAGGGACTGAGGCCCTGTGAACTGGCCCAACCGTGACAAGAGCCATATGGGAAGCAGAAGAGCCATATGGGAAGCAGATCCGTCTGTAGCTGCAAAGCCCAAGCCCCAAACACCTGGGGGAAGTGGCTCCAGACTTCAGACCCATGGGCGCTGTGAGATGCTTATGGCTATATTAAGTTGCTGTTTGTGGTAGCTGATACAGAGAACATTAGAGATTTGTTAACTGTTTGAGGTTGAGGTGTTTGTTCTTTATTGTTTTACTGTCTGTTTCTTCCTGGATTTAAGCAGAGTTTACAGATGTTGAATGGTCACTTTCCTACAGCTCCATTCCTTTATATGTTCTGATTACCTAATAAGTGATGTCCTGCAATGGGAGGGGCACAATAGCAATTCACAGAGTGAAGGTTTAGAAAGGGGAACTGCTGCATTATACTTGTCAGACAGCAGAACTGGGTCTTCTTGCTTCTTTAATTTTATAGATAAAGTGTGTACACACCTGAATGCCGGCAAGGCTTTTAAATAATTTTAGTCCATAATCCGCAGTAACTTTCTCTGTACATGTTTACGTTTTTTCCTATCACCATCCAATGGTGCTTCCTTGGCTTTTGTTTGATGAAGTTTGTTTCTTATCGCACCCTTGTGTCTGCTTAGGTCCTGTATGTAACTGGCTTGCAAAATAAGCAATGTTTCTAAGTTCAATTCAGTTTGTGTTTCATTTGTGAGTTTGAAACTTTTGACCTGAAACAGCTGGCCCGGGACACAGCAGCCTGTGTGTGAGGACAGAGATTTGGGGAACAGGCTGGGGCCTAGTTTTAGCAGATGTTCGAGTAAGTATAGTTGTGGTCCCGAGTATTACTGAAGTTTGAATCAAGAATCTTTTCTGACAACTAAATAACAGCATCAACACATAACAAATGAGACCAGGTATCTGTGCAGTGCACTGAAGACTGGCAAGATGAGTAGAAGGCCTCAACAGCAGGGATGGATGGGGGCAAACTCCCCAAAGACAAGGAGCCAGCGACTGACAGGAGACGGAAGTTGGCGAGGGACCTGGCTGTGTGGTAGCTTGGAGATGGGAACACAGAAGGCATCCCATTTTGAGCCTGAAGCAAAGACCTCACAGCTCCTCTTCCACAGAGGAGACTTCCTGGCTACAATCCCATGTCAGCTTGATAGTTTTCCGAGTACTGTAATTCTAGGAAGGACTCCTAGAAGAGTAAATACGACACCATCTGCTGTAGCAGAGGAGTCAGTCATGAGAGATTGATTAAGGTATGCATCAGCCCTGTTTGACCTTTGTCACAGATTGGCCATACCCGGAAATGCAGAATTCCAGCATGCCTGGGTATACTTGCTGGATGGCAGCCCTGTCTCCAGGAAGCCCACCTACAAAAACTGAGCTCTGAGTCTGAAAGTCCCGTGGACCCTTACGCTAATCACACTGTAATCTGACAGTGGGAGTTCTCAGGATAAAGATGCTGCTGTTTTCTTTTTCTGTGACTGGTGGGCAGCCGTAGACAGCATGTCTCTGAAGTACATCTCAATCCAATAAATCAAGAGGTTCATACTCTCTCATCTCAACGTGAAGGCCCTAAGAGGAATCAGAAGGGTGAGTGGAGTTGCCCCTCTCTACCTGCAAGTGTGAAAAGTTGTTACAGAGAGCTGCTGTAAGATGTGGCTCCCCATGAACAGTGCCCCCAAGCAAGCCCACTGACTCCTGGTGTCACCCAGAGACTCGCACAGCTCCATACCTCACGTTGGTGTGCCTCTTGACATACAGGTTGTGAAAGTTATTTGTGTTTTCCATCTGGCCTGCTTTGGGGCCTTGTAGCCTTTGGATGATCTCTGCCTTCATCTCCATGGCAATGTGAGCCGGCAGCAAGGAGAGCAGCAGCCGCTCCTGCAAGGTGAGTGGGAGGGGGTGGGAAGTGGGAGGGGCAACAGGTGGGGGAGAGAAGGAACATGTTTTAAAAATTGTGGAAACAGTCACACGGTACTGGGCATCAGCACTGATTTGGAATGGGCCCGAGTTGGGGCCTCTTTCACATCAGTTAAGCTACAAGTTCTAGAAACATACATTTGAAGGAAAAAGAAAACCATAAATATTCCTAAGGTCAGAGTCTTATATTCTTATGCATTGCATTCTAAGCATGAGTTCTTCAGCATGGATAAAAGAATAAGGTGTAGTTATTTCCCCAAGGATATTATTCATCTATTTTGATTTTAAAATAGCAAAGCAAGACTAATATTAAAAGTCCAAGAAACAACTCAACAGACAGTGTGAGATAAAAGGATTCATTTCACCCTCATTCATGTTTGTGATAAAGCACAAACCTTATTGCACTTGGGAAAGACAGCTAATATCCCGCACTTCCTAAACAAGGAAGCTAAATATTTTCCAATATTTCATTTCCTCTAGGATGAACATCCAGTCTCCTTCAGTGATTATAAACTGCTATAAAACAGAGTCAGAAGTAAGAGTTTCTGTTGAGCACCATCTATAAGAAGCTACAGGTAGAACAGAAAGACTTCATACCACTCAGCTCCTTGTGGTCTTTTTATTTCCACATTCTGTGAGCACAGTAGACACTGAGCACTAGCAATCCCCAGCACTGATGTTGGCATATACCTATTTTAGCCAGAGTAGCATTTTTCCACCTTCTTCTAAATAAAAAAAACTTATTTTTGAGGCAAAGAAAACTGGAAGGGCAATGTTGGAAAGTTTAATCATCATCGAATAATTTTAAACGTGAGTCTACTGTGTTTAAGATCATCACAGGGATGTGGAGAGATGGTTCAGTAGTTAAGAGCATTTACTGCTCTTGCAGAGGACCTGACACCCACATGGTGATTCACGGCCATCTGTAACTCCAGTTCCAGGGCATCTGATGCCCTCTTCTGACCTCTGTCAGCACTAGGCATACATGTGGTGCATTTATATGTATGCAAAACACTCATACACATAAAAATAAGTCTCTAGGGGCTGGAGAGCTGGCTCAGAGGAGCACTTTTCTGGCAAAGGACCCAAGTACAATTCCCAGCACCCACATAGAGTCTCCATTGCCTTCTTGTGGCCTCTTCTGGCACTGCACACACCAGGTACACATGTGTATATACATAGAGGCAAAACACTTAGACACATAAAATTTTAAAAAGTAAATCTTAAAAAAACAAAGAAAAACAGAAGGCAATCAGTAGACTTTCCTGTGTTTATGTCAGTTCTTAGCTGTGCCTTGAGTAGCTGATATTTTGGCATCTTGCAGGGTCCAGGATGGGGCCCCTGTTTACACTGAGCATGCCCTGGGGTGATCATACATTGGATCCTGAGGTGAGTTTCTGATAAAAGTCTGCATTTAAAATATGTGAAAAGGAGCCCCTTCCTCTGAATTTGCCTTTCTTTACATTTAAAATGTTCTCTGAAGGAAGTAACTATTTTAAAAAATATTTTATTTATTATTTTTATTTTATGCATATGAGTGTATTGCCTTCATGTGTGCAAGTGCACCTGTGTCATGCAATGCCCACGGAGGTCCAAAGAGGACATCAGATCCTCTGGAACTGGAGTTATGGACAGTTGTGAGCTGCTATACGGGTGCTGGGAATCGAACCTGGGTCTTCTGAAAGAGCAGGCAGTGACCTTAACTGCTGAGCTACCTCTCCAGCCCCAGAAAACACCAACTATTATGGACTCTGAAGATCACCTCTGGGAGGTGGTAGCTTCTTCCTTACCACATCCAGTTTCCTGTGTCTAGAGAGCGAGCTCCTGTGTCTACTGCCTCCCTTTCCACACATCCCTCTGAGGGCCTCCGGATGGAACTCAAGCTGACCTCCCTCCCCCACCTGGTCCCTCATCCTGCTCTCTGAGGCCACGTCCCAGATGAACAACCTGATGTTTATCTGGGGCACTCACTGCCAAGCATTGTCCCTCCTTCTACATTCTGTAATAAAAGTGTGATAAACTCCAAGAGCCAGTCCTTCCTAGAAGACACAGATTTCATGACCAAAAACAGAGACTCAAATATAGTAATTCTCTCCCATCCCCAGCCTCATTTAACAACCAAATGTAAATTATGATCTCTATTTTAAACCTTAAATGTAGATGGATGACCAACTTTTATAGGGGGCTAGAAGGTAAAAAAGATAAAATTCATATGTTATATAAAACAAAATTTTCTCTTCTGTTGTGTTAAAGAATTATTGTGAGTTTAGACTGTAATAAAATTTGGAGGAATAGACTGGTGAAATGGCTTAATGGGTAAAGGTACTTGCTGCCAAACCTGATGATCCAAGTTCAATCCCCGCGACTCACACTGTGGAAAAGAAAATTGACTCCTGAAAATTGTCTCTGACTTAGATAGGTGCACAGGGATGTGTATTCCTCCCCCAAACAAAACAAAATTTAAAGAGTATAATTCAAGGTATCTTTAAAAGTGGGAAGGGAAGTAATATTGTTCAGTAAGTAAAGTGCTTACCACGTAACCCTGATGATTTGAGTTCAGTCCTGGAACTCATGTCAAGGTACGAGTAGAGGACCACCTCTGCAAAACTGTCCTCTGAGCTCCATGTGTGCACTGTAGTGCCATCATCCATTAGCAAGCAACACAGGCAGTAATAATAATAAAACAATTTATAAAGTTAGTGAGGAACAGCCAGTGAACCACATATAGGCTGACCCACTATCGAGGCATTCTGGCTCTGCTGGTGGGCAGTGCAAGCTCTGGTTGGATATCAGCCTCGGGATCAGCACACAGCCCTATGGGAAGTGCAGGACCACAGCAAACCACTAACGAGACCATGAGCCCAAGGTGATGAAATCAAAGCACTTTCCTTTGCCTTTTCTCCCTTATGAAAGTGTTCTCATTTGAAAGGATGCTCAATATTACAAGCTTTTTAAGTCCCAAAATGTCCCTTCTGCATTTCAGGGAGCTCATTACAGAAAGAAAAGCCCAATGTTTTGGCATATGAGACAAATTTCAAGCCAGTTCACAGTCTGACAAAGTTAGTTCTTCCATTAATATTTTAGCTCTTTCTAATGTAGCTGCATACTCGCCAAATTATCTGAAACACACAGATATGAGAATTCACATGCCAGATGTCACTTAGCCATATTATCTTCGTAATTACATTGAGCAAACTCCTTAAGGATGCTTTTGGAAAATCAAGTTGTACATTAAACTGATTGACTCACATCATCCTTCCTTCCTCCTCTTGCTGGAGATGCTCGTATGCTCTCAGAGAACTTGGGAGAACTCTGGCACCTTCCAAGTTATCCAGAGAACAACTCAGCTGTAGTTTAGGAGCTCTGTGTCAACCCATCTTTTAATTAAAATCTCCAGATCGAGTGCAGTAGTAATAAACTTTCCTTAGAACTTGGTCTTTTAAAGTGTGCTCTACAGAAGCGCTCTAGAGTTAATTCAACAAATTTCAATATTCTGTCAAAGTTCAGGGCACCCTAAGTTCCAAAGTGTTTCTAATACAGTGATTCAAGGAAGAAGCTGTAACTATACTTTGTATTACCTTTTTGGGAGCAGGGCCATGAGAAATTCTATACAGTCATATCTATACCTTGTCTCATCAATAAACCATGCACACAAGAAACATTTAAGACTGTTTCAGATTTCAGCAGAGTGAATTATCACTTTCATAAGATTAAAAAATTTATTTTATTTATCTATAGAGAATTTCATAACTATTTACAAGATATTTTGATCCTATTTACCTCCTTCTCCACATCTAGCTTTTCTCAGAACCCCCGCAGTCCCTCCCAACTTCATGTGCTCTTTCTTTATACTACTCCAACCCACTGATTCCAGTACCTGCTGCCTTTATGCACACGGGTGTGGAGCCATCCACTGGAGCATGGGCAATGCCATATCCCTGAGTAGACCTGACCTTCCCTCCTCCAGCAACCATCAACTGCCAGCAGCTCTCAGACGGGTGCGGCTGCTCCCATCCATACTGCAATGAACTGTAAAAGTTTTCATTTCAGCATATTGGCCTCTAATCATTATTTTAAATGCAACTGAATTCTACCAGGATTTAAATACCCAACGAGCAGGAGGGACACAAAGCACAAATTCTCCTCTTCCCAACAGAAAGTAGCTATCAGAAATCAGCTCCCTAAGCAGCACTGAGCCACACATGGCTCCTTCAGCCCATGCAGAGGAAGGACATGTGCCATTTAATACTGTCCTGCAACATGAGAGAGCTGAGGTCCCATCTGAAATCAAATTCTGAAAACTCAGCACTTAGTACCCACTTGAGATGTGAAAAGGAGCTCCCAGCACCCCCTTTTAGCTCTCACTGGCTCACACCTTTTCCTGTAGCCAGTGTCTCATCTGCACAACTGAAAGAATGCAAGTCTTCCCCTCAATCCAGTTCCCATCACTGGTGTAGCCCCAAAGCTGTGTTCCACACACAGTCACTATTGTTACTGCTCCCATGTTTGCTTCTCACAGATCCTTCAGAACTGCTTCATGTTAATTAAAACACACTGAGTACTTGTTGTTTGAAAAGTCTTGCTTTATGTTTACTTGACTATCATTATATTTATTTATTTATTTATTTTATGTGTATGAGTGTTTTACCTACATGTATGTAAGTACATTCATGTCACACAATGCCTGCAGAGGCCAGAAGAGGGCATCAGATCCCCTGAACTGGAATCAAGGACAGTTGTTAGCCATCATGTGGGTGCTGGGAACCAAACCTGTGTCCTCTGCAAGAGCAGCAAGGGCTCTTAACTGCTGAGCCATCTCTCCAGCAGTCCTTTGTAGCAGAAACAGCTCTAATAGGAGCAGACGTGGGTTCCAGCCTTTCACTCCCATTGTCATCTTACTGTATGAGCTTCAATCCGACTGTCCGACTTCAATCCCACTGTATGAGCTTCAATCCGACTGT